TTTTTTTTTTTTGGCAATGGTAATAAATTTTATAGACAATTGTAAAAAAAAAAAATTTCACTTTAATGGATAATTGTCATGTAAAACGAATTCAAACGAATACTGAACTTTGATAAAAAATAGTGAAAAATAGTTTTCCAACAAATTTTTTTTTTCTTTTACGTTTTGACAATGGTAACAAATTTCATAACCAATTGTAAAAAAAAAAAATTATTTTAATGAACAATTTTTATGTAAAATAAAGTCAAACGTGAACAAAAAGATCCAAAATTTTAAAATTTTTCGGGTGAAAAATTATACCAATCAATCATATTTAATTAACTTCCCTGGAAAACAATTTCTAGGCAATTATTTTCCAAAATTATTTTAATGAACAATTTTTATGTAAAATAAAGTCAAACGTGAACAAAAAGATCCAAAATTTTAAAAAAATTTCGGGTAGAAAATTATACCAATCAAACACACTTGAAATCATTTTTCTTGCAAAACATTTTCTAAGCAAATGTTTTCCCTGTAAAACATTTTCTTTCCACCAATTTTCCATCTTTGCAATCAAACGCACCCTTAAGTAGATAAATTTGTGTGCAAGTACGTAGTAGTAAATTTAACATGCTATGTAAAGATAGATGAAACTACTCAAGAGAACACAATTAGATACTTCTTGTATTAAAACAAATCAATTCGAACTACCTCATATCTACATATTAGCGATCAAATTTCATGGAAAACAAAGTCAAACGAACAATCAATATCCAAAATTTCAACATTTTTCAAGTAGAAAATTATATCAATCAAACACAATTAATTGACAATTCTCGAAAAAATAAGTTCTAGACAATTATTTTCTCTGAAATTCATTTCCTGTTCACCAATTTTTCAATCTTGCAATCAAACGGACCTTAAAAGTGAAACTAGAAAAAGAAAGGTAGGATATATAGGTTAAAAGGGAATTTCAAATATGCAATGATTTTGTCTGGTATTCTAGGAATTCATTACAGTGTTCATTTCTGATTAAAATACTGTTTGGAAAAATAATTCTGTGCTGGAATATCTCTTTTTCTTTTTCTTTTTCTTTTTGCTTTTATAGTTTCAATATATATGATTTTTTACTGGTTTAACATAGATAATCCACGTAGAAGTCATATACGGGTTGGACCAAGCCATTGGTATTTGGTTAAAAATTACCTTTTATTCTCGTAAAGTCAAACTACAATTTCAACTACATATTCAAAATTACTATGCATAATTCAAAATATATACGTACAAACGTACCATACGGAGTAAATAATCTACTATTTTTTTTTGTTATTCCACTGTAGAATGGGACTTTTTATTCATCATTTTATCCCTAGTGGAGGACAAAATCATTAGTGTTTGAAGATGAGGGTACTGAGCATGTGAAACAATGTCTTTTAAGTCAAAAATTTTCACTTGATCATAACCCTCTAAAGTTGGAGGCATGCTACCAAACAAGAGCTATGTTCAAAGTTGAATGACTAAGAGAATTCAAAATCTAAATTTTTACGGAGCTCTTATCTTGCTTAAGAAAATTTTTCATTGCAGTTAAACTTTCAAGGAATAATAGTTATCTTTTTGTCGTCTTCGAATCCAAAAATAAGGAGTAAAAAACTCGAGCCTTCTTGTTTGTAGGTATAATCTTTGGAATCATGCTACTTTTACAATCTTGGTTAACAACTCACACTTGACAACATCACATCCATCCATTTTAAAAATTATTTTTAAAATTAATGGTCCAGACTTTGACAACATCAATGTTGTTAACCACAATTATACAAATAAGTTAATTCTAATCTTCAACATATCATGATGAATGACTAGAAAATAAGTCCACTTTTTTGTGATTCAAAAGATAAGAAGACAATTAAGGATTCATGCAATCTTTGAGCCCATAATCACACATTTGAAACATTCTCTTAAAGATCAATATTTTTTTGTCCCAAGAGAATAGAGGGGTATAGAAAGGGCCCCACATTCATGATTACAGGTCATTTCCTATCATTTGTGGTAAAATAAAGTTGCTTTAGTATGAACATTTGTGTAAATCCCACCTCCACTTATCTTTAAAGTATGTGGAGATATGATAAATAGACAAACAAATGATTTGGACCTTCTAAAGTAGATAAGAAAAAGACTAGAATCTAAATACATGAAAGAAAAGCAATACAAATGCCCCTTCTTTGTGAAATTTTACTAGTGATACATAATGTAAATACGGAAAATTCGATGTATTTGTTACATTGAACTCGATATAATTAAAGAAGAGAAAATATTTTGTATATGAACCCTCATCATGGATAGAATTCAAATTATCTCCTACAAAACCAAGATGAAAAAATTATCAAATTAGATAGAACAAAAATACAATACAACGCGCCCAGAATATAAGTAAATAATCCTATTGACAAATTGGATATGTTCAAACTTGACATTTCATGAATAATTTTTATAATTTTTGAAATTAATTTATTTAGTTTTCAAACCGAATTTTAATAAATGAAGCCAACATCGAGTTTATTTTTATTTAAAAGGTCTATGATTCAAGTCCCAATATTATGTAAAATGAAATTTAAGGACGTATTCAATTGAAACTTTTAAAAACATTTTAAAGCAATATACTTTTGCACTATTCGTGAACTTTTAGTTACTAAACTTTCAATGATATCTCAATTAGGTCACTCGACTTTAATTTGTTAATTTATCACAATCAGTACACCGAACTTCAATTTCCACTCTATTAGTCCTAGTTATTAAACTTTACCCCCTCCACTAGCCTTCGTTTCTAGGTAAAAATGCCACTTAATCATATCACGACTGCGGAACTTGGGGATAAATAGGACTTTGAGCATCTTTAATTGGGTGAATTACCTTGATTTCAAAACACAATTTATTTTCAATTTTATTGTCACCATTAACCACATAATTATGTGGCATATTTACCAAAAATTGCTATCAATTTTTAACATTAACATAGAGATGAGAGTTAACAAAGTGACCAACACTGAAAAAGTACATTGAAATTCAATTATTTAATTGACAAAAATAAAAGGTGAGTAACTCGTTTAAAATTTCACTGAACTTTCAAAAATGACAATATTCTCGTCTAAACCTTGTGCATATGTGGATGAGCTTTAAAAAAGTTACTTATAAGCAAAATAAGTATACTTTAAAATATATAACTTTTCGGTAATCAAAATTTAAAATAAGTTACTTAAAAGTCCTTCGTGCATTCAGACCAAAATAGGTTTCTTATAAGGGGAAGAAAATTAATTCCAAGCATCCAGAATAAGTTTTATTCTGAGGTTAACCAAAATAGGTTAACGAAGGCTGTCAGTCAAACCGTGGCTGTATATCCATGATAAAATCAGAAAAATAAACAAGATATAAAGATGCTATGCTGTGAATGTTACCTCCCTTTTCCTCAGGAAAATGTTGTACAGGATTTTGAACTGCATCAAGAGGTGTTACAATTATTTACGTGTACATACATACATACATACATATGCAGACGAATAATATTTTTTTTTAAAAATGCGCAGTGAATATACCGTCTCACCTTCAAGACAACTCAAAACTTCTAAAGTTTCAGTCAGCATGCTCGCGAAAATGAATAATTTTGCTGATAAATGGTCTCTCCTTACGGTAGCTATATTAATGAAAATAAAAGGTTATTATCATGAGTAGAGATGTCGCTGCAAGATTGTATCACTAAAAGAAAGAAGTAGGGAAAGACAATATCTCTGAATTAAGAGAGAGGACATAGATACTCACATTGCAAATGCTGTTACACTGAAACATGCGAATCCAAAGGAGAAGTGAACGAAAAATGTGGCCCAGAAGTTATCTCGGTCCAAATATATTTTCTCAAATATGAAAGTGGCTACCCCTGAACATAGTAGATATTCCCAGCCTGAGGGCAAGCACTCACGAAAAGAAAACGAGGATGACTCCTGCGAAGAAGAATGAACAATACATTATAAGTCCGCATTTAAGATATTCATGCTCATACGTGTATGCATTCACATTTCACAAAGGTCAAGCTCAAATTTTACAGAATGCAAACAAAGTGATTTGCACAATTACAGGTATACCTTGAAATAATTGCTGATGAATCTCGCTGAATAAATAATCCTGAAAATCATGTCTTTATGACAGTCAAGGAAGCAGTGTGTAAATTATGATTACTGTCTTAATTTTGACAAGGCATGAAGGTTGGCAACAAAATAATAAATTCACTGTGCCTGTCAAACCACCCAACCAGCCATTTACACGACCACCTTCACTCTCAGAACACACATCCTGCAAAAATATTTTGCAATTGTTGGCCTTAAAATGCCAAGATTGGACTGATCAAGTAGCCTGATTTCCTATTTCACTTGAATGTCCCACTGCTTATTGATGAAAGAATTTTTTATCTAAGATGGCATGTAGAATAGTCAACAAAGAATTGATCAGAAAAGAAGAATATGATCAGAACTTCATTATTATAGTGGAGGATACTCAAAGAATTTGCAGTGATCAACCCCACTGCTCCAGCTGATCTTATAAGTAACACATTCAACACTAGGTAAACAAATGAGAATACAACCAACGAATTGTTTGATTGCTTGAGTTGATTCTCTGTTGCAACTGCGTGCAAAAATGCTTCAGATGTACCTAAAGCAAAAGCAAAAACAAAATCAAAAAAAATTCCATATTACAATCTCAATGGTGCGGGTAACATCTATTTGGCTCAAGTAATTTTAGGTCATTTAGTTCTCTACAGAATTAAGGATTCCATTAATGCAAGCAAGACTGCCACTGCTAAACTAAGGGGAGTTACATGGTATTTATCTTCTTGTCATGAAAATAAATGTAGAGTAAGACAAGTACCATATAGAACTTAATAGAAGATAAAAACAGATACGCGAGGAAAGTACTAAAGATGCAACTTACTCACATAGACAACAAAAAAATAAATTAATAGAGTGACATGTAGGATCACTTACCATTCATGGCCAAGACTATTACATAAAGGCAATAATATTGCAGGGCTGTAGAAGCTTCTCCATCACTCCATTTCCTACCGTACAATATTCTGATGAGAGAGTAAGAATAGCTTGGACCAAAGGAGATAACCACCATGCCTACACAATCAGAAAAACAGCATAAGCTACACAAATCTTTTAGGATAACTACAAGGTTAGGATATTCACTTAAAAAGGTCAAAAAATTCTAAATAATTTTTGACAACTTATAACTTTGACTAAGCAAAATGACATAATTAGAAAGCCATATAAAACTTGTGCTCTATATAATTCATTTTTCTATAAAAACATAAGGTCGGATAACACTTAGCTTGGGATTGACAGCACAGATTTATTGAACATTGCATGAAAGTTTCATCCCAACTTGACGGAATGTGGTCAATCCCATCATAATTGTGATCAATACATAAGCCTGCTGTTTTTATCTATTTATAGGAAACCACCTCACCTCAGCTCATACCCACATCAATTATAAGCAACCAAGTGTAATTGATCAGTATTTTTTTTGAAAGGTAATCAAATATTTTATTAATCAAATATTGATAAGTATTTTCATGATACGTCCTTCAGATTATTCAATATTAATATCTTTTAAACCACATAGGTAAGCTTCATATGGCCAATCTCTCTCATCAGGGTCCGCTGTTTAGTAGAAACAAGCATGATTATGCTAAGAGTAGCTAAAATCACAGCTTTCTCCATTTCTCTGTTTCTCCTCACCTGTAACCTTCATTCGTTGACGAGAAATAATATTTTTAAATCACAAACCACTAAATAACATCTAGTCAGAAAAGTAGCCCAAATGCACTTTTTAAAACATTGATGAATTGTTCTTCGTAAATGGTAATACACTAATGCTAACCCATTTCGTACAATATCCAACTTCTTTGATAGCAATCTAGCTACATTTTTTTTTAATAACCCTGAATGTCCGGGCCAGCTTGCGCACACCTCGACTAATTCCACGGGGCCCTGAAATTTACAATCGGATACTCACCTCAATGGCCTTAGGGGACACTAACTGATGATCATTGGGGAGCAAACTCAATACCTGACCAACTGAGCAACCCCTCAAGGTTAGCTATCTAGCTACATAAGAGTGTGATGTACATAGAAGGGCCTTGCTATAAGCTATTTACAACTAATCAGATCAGACTGGATCTAACACCAAATCCAGAAAAGAGAAGAAAAAAAATGATGGATGTGTTCGGTATGTAGGCATTGAATTATAATCTTTTCATATCAATTTTTATGAAAATCCCAGCAGTGAAAAAAATTCTGAGATTCTAATTCTGATACTGGTCACCGCAATTGAGAACATGCTCACAACTATTCTTAATGTTCAACGAGAAAGGATAGCCAGGAGTGTGGCTAGAATTCCCAACATGGACCAACTTGCTGTACTGGTGTCTATAAGCAACTCTTCACTTCACTGAATCTCGTCAACATCATCGGTCATGTAGGTCTATTTCTTTAACCATCCTGTTGTGGGGACATTTCAATAATGAGGATCAAATAAGGGCTTAATTTGGGAAAAGGAAAGCTTTAGGCTTTCTAAGTACTGCTAGACCTACGAAATTGTGGCAGCCCAAACAGTTAGCAACAAAATATGGCCCAGCGGCTAAAACTTTCATATCACTAGCATCTCATTGAATATACTCTTAATGTCTTACATAAGATTTATGATCAGACAATCAGCTAGTAGCTCCACAGACTTAAATACTTTTGATCAAGACTAAAATAATCAAAAATCAACTTCTACTGCGTAACATTATTTTTTCAAGACCATACTGAATTTATATTGAGATTGTTATTGGGCCTTTTCAGTCTTTTGGATATAAATTGCACCAAAAGTAGAGGTACCTATCAGCAGAACAAGTTTCAGAGCATCTGTAAGACACCGTCCAAGCTTCCTGCTTTTCTCTTTATTGTCTCCTGCCAAAAGGAATGAAGATAATGATATAGTCTAGCTGCAAAAAAGTAAAACCTACAAACATTAATAATCCATTGAAACAATATTAATTGACAAACATTCACTGAAAATGGCCTTAAGTAACTAGAGGAACAATATTAAGAAAATGAGCACAGACAAGTTGTCACGAGTTACTCGATTCTTATAGACCAAAAAGTGCAAGCCCAGCTGATTCATTGATGAAATGTGAGAGGCTCAAATCGTGGTAATATTAAGAAATATAATTCCAGTATCATCAAAGAAATATAGCCTTGCCTGAGCAAAACAGTATGAAATTGTAGAGTACAGATTATGGGTCAAAGGAGGAAAAAGATGAATTTGTTTTGCATCTGTAACCCAGTTCTATCATTTCTATGACATCAAGTATGAATAATATGTATGTTGACAATCCTTAGCTTTAGAGAGAAAAATGTCAGAGGATTTGACCAATGGACATTCAGTCAGATGAATCAAAAAATATTTAAGCAGCAACAAATTAGGCTTTGTTCCAAAAAATTTGGGGTCGGCTACATGAACCACTTTTGCCACTCCGTTTGGTTCATTGCTAGATCTATTCAAAGATCTAAGTAAACAAGCATAATTTGCATATTTCTGTCCATCACATGCATAGATCAAGGTTAAAAAAAAACTATATGAGGCTTATGCCTTAAATCTCGTCTCATGTGAGGCTATCATAAAATGCCTCAAAACCCAACCTTTAAGGCCACTTGAAAGGCTTACACCTCGACTTGGCGAGGCTTATGCCTCAAGCCTGAGCCTCAAACCAGCTAAGGTCGCCCTTTTGCCTAGTATTTTTCAAAGATTTAGCCCTCGTTTGGCCTCCATTTTAATTAGATTTTGGGACAAATGTATTTTGAAAGAATAATTTTTGGAGAATGTTTAGTTAAAAAAGTAGGAAAGTCTTGGATATACGTGTAATATTATTGGAGAACGAGTGGAAGAGAGAGAAAAATGAACTATAATTTTAACAAAGCCCAAATAGGGGCTTAATTATTAACCTGAGCTTTTCGAATTATTTCTTTATAACTTAAAATGTTTTATGGCGTCGTTTCCTTTTTTCTACCTACAAGAAAGGAAAATGGGAAGGAGAATACATCATTGCAATTGAAATTTGCGGATGATGACAAAGAATGAAAAGAAACTTATAATGAGGATAATGATGTTAATGATTCCCTTAAAGATCATATTAATAGTGATGTAAGAAACTTTTTGAGCAGTCATAATTTTGGTTCATGATTATTAATTTGAAAACCTACTATTTTCTATTTTCTTGATCTATTTTATGTTTATTTGCAAGTTAGACTTTTTGAATTTTGTTAATTAGCTTTCTTATGAATTTTTTGAAAGGGTTCATGGTATATTGCGAGCATATTTTAGTATTTTTATTAATTCTTTTATTATTCTATCTTGAGGCTTACGCCTCACCTCACAGAGAAAATGCCCGGTACCCGATTAAGCCTTTTTAAACATTGGATAGCATGCAGTGAAAAATACTAAGAAGGAACAGTTCATGTAAGAATCTTGAGGGACGTCTGCTAAGCTACTCTTAATGGAGGAAAATAGAGAAGGAATGTAGCATCATCAAGAGAACAAGAAGAAGAGGGATAAACCTGATGCAGATCTTGCAAAGGTAGCATATGAACTTTCTTCGAATGGAAGAAACACCAGCCTAACCACTAAGCTCCCTGAAATACCAACCTGATTTATTTTAGCATACTCGGTAATTCTTCGAGTTTCAAACTGAAAAGTGAATTACATGCTTAAAACACTTAAACTTGAGCCTCATATCAGACAATTGCACCTTTCTCACGGAAACGTACTATCTTGAGAACCAATGTATTAACTATAAGCAAGATGTATATTGATGAAATACCAACCTAGTTTCTCTACAACTCCATATACTGCTTGGTTATACGGTGTATCCAACCATACAAGGACCATCTTTTCTCCTTCCTGAAGAATCAACTTTCTAACAGATTGAAGAGTGAACAGCTTACACATATTTGCTAGTGGCCTATCATAATCCATCAAGTTCCCTACGCTGTGAATATCAGGTGTTTTTTTAGTAACATTTAAAGCTTAAAAAGAAGCATATTACTTCAAGAAATTGATGATATGGAAATTAAACTTCATCACTATATGATGAGACCATCTGAGAAGGGGACCAAAGAAGACTTAAAACATCATGAAGGTTCACCAGGCATGAAAAAAAATTAAAAAAAAGTTTCTACACTGCTAATACTACAATGATCACAAAATAAGCACTTTTCAAATTTTCTGAGTGTAGTAAAATGTTTGTCTCGTGTAAAGTTGCAAAGATAACAAGCAGGTGTTGAAAAAAAGTAATACCTGAAAGGAAAAAGGTCAAAAGTTTCAGATACACGAAAAAGAAGAAAATATCCCCAATAACCCAAGAATATTGAAGCTCCATATGCTACTTGAGACAAGGCAAATACAATTTCTTTCTCCTGCAAATTTAACAGTAAATTTTCATATTAGGAAGCTGCTCCAATTGTGGTACAAATGTTGCACATATAGAGATGTTGAAGGGAGATAAACCACAAGTGGCATGGAATCACAAATGGTCAAGAAGGATAGAAGCGTGCCCAGAACACATCAAACATAATAAATCGATTTCATTAAAATCTGATTAAAAAAATACAGTCCATCATACAACGGTAAAAAGACTCCAAACCAAAACTTGGGTAACTAAGGCTGAAAAATAACAGAGGATAAGCATGAAGAGAGGCTAAATCATGAGTACCACCAAAGAAGAATCAACACAAGGGAATAGAATCCTCCTTCCCAACATGCATAGAGAGTAGAATTCAAAACCAATCAGTAAAAAAATGAGAAACAAAGAAGAGAAGCACCTTCAAGGTGATTAGGATATGACGATAAGCTTCAATATGGTTGCCAAAGGACATTTAAGGTGATTGTAAGAATCCATCCCACCCTTTCTCCCAGACATTGAAGAAGAAACGAGGAAAAGAAAGTGCCTATTTAGCAGTATTTTGTTGCAACAATGATAACGACGATGATGAACGACGATGATAATAGTAGGCTTATGACCTTTCACAATGAAAGGTCAAAAACCTCATACCGTGTCATTAATTTTTTGTAAAATTCGTCACTGATTGTCTCACTTCAATTTAGAAGGTCAAATACTGCTCCAAGCAATCGCATTATGTGCCCCAAGCTAATGACAAGTAATGTGACAATCTTTATCCAACCTCATGCCTCAACTCTAACAAGAGCTCCTACGAAGTTTTGTCCATGCTTTAAAGCTTACAACACAGATATGCTTGAAAACTAAATGTTACTAATGACAGTTCCAAAAGTCGCCACTGCCCACAAAAATTAAAATGAAAGTGTAAATCTTCTATTTACCATGCTAGATTGCTTCAGTATGAGGATATACGTCGTTATACAACGTGAAAGAGTAGCTGTACTTTCAACAACCAGCCGCAGTCTCAGAAGCAGCATGTTTTGAGATAAGATATAAAAGGGTTCCGCTAGTAGTTCAAGTATACATGCAAAACCTGCATATGAATGAACAAACCAGACATCAAGAGTCTTTATTGAAGGTTAAACATATAGGAAACACAACGCCCTATGTATGAACACGAGCATTACAACACAACACAACATATCAACATCTATGTGATGTGTGATGACACGAATATCGATCTCCACTTTGTTGTGCACCAAGCGACACTACCTCAAAAACAAGTTCAATGCCTAGCCATACCCACCCACCCACCCACCTCCCAGCATTGTGTCTTAGACTTGTAATACTTCTTACATCCCTCCCACCCATTGGAATAAATTTTCTAGAATTGCATTTGGTGCCTTCACACAGTTAGCTTGGCACTTTGCAGTATGAAAATTTCTAATGTGGTCCTCTTTTTACAGAATGTTGGTAGTTCTTATTTCCCTCCACTCCTCCATATTTGTCGACAAGTTTAAAGCCAAAGATTTTTCCCCAGCAGGTGGACTGGCTCCAGCAGCATGGAACTGGATTTGAAAAGTTTGGTGTTTGACGTATTAGCATACCGTGAATCAAGATACCCTGGGCATATGGACTAGAATAACTTAGTCCTTTCAACCAGAATACGTATACACATGCTGCAAGTGTAATAATTATTCCTAAAGGAAATGTCAGCCAGGCAACTTTCAAAAGTTTTGCTGTATTTTCTCTCGTTGTTGACGCATCATTACTGCAAGATATCACAAAATCATCTTTGAGTTTCATACTTCGAAAATCAAAACGCATAAATGGTTTGTGACAGTTTTGCATTTTCCAAGACATCCATCAGGAGAATATCAAAATATAAGTACTAAAATGCTAAGCAGGCACAGTTATTTAGATTGTTGAATATGCATATGCACAATAACAACCACGCGTAGTTATGTACCTAAGCATTAACCAGCGTAAGATAAGGTAAATGAAAATTTGATGACAATATTGGAACCAGATCTGAAATTCAATATGAATTGAGAATCTTACGTCCGTTTTAAAAAGATAAAAAATAACTTCGTATATTTTAAGCATGTGACATATGAAATATATATTAGATGAACAATTAGGATAGCAGCCAGAAACTACACGACAATGAATATATTGAACTTGACCAATAACTGAGTGAGTGAACAAAAGAAGAAACTTAAATCCAAGTAGTTAAACTAAGCCAGTGTTTGGACAAGTAGAAAAATAATATACAAGGTGATACTCAAAATTTTGGATCAAAAGAGACATTTGAAAATACCATCTTATAACTGCTCTCATGCATGCTCGCCAAAATCCTTCTCGACTGAGGAACAAGACACAGGTGACAAACAGATGGAATTGCACAGCATACATCTGCATTATGTATAGGAATGTGGTGGGTTAGATGATGACTGGAAGTACAAACATAAGAAACAGTCAAAGAAACTACATGAAAATCACACCATTATATTACAATTGTTAAGTTATACTTCGAAAAAACAAAAAGCATGGAAAATATAGTTTATTTTTAACACCTATGATCAAGCAACACACAATTAAAGAAGCATAGAAGCATGCACAGGAGACTAACATTCTTCAGATGTTATTGAAGGCATTAGACAACCCTTTAACTGTACACAAATAAAAACCACAAGTCTAAATTTAAAACAAGTCTCTGATATTCCCTAACAATGTCCGAAAATCCCATGATTCGCTATACGGTCAAGCAACAAAGTCCGCAATGAAAATTTATTGTATGCTACATACATTTAAGAACAGATTTTCAAATTTTAATTTTTCTGAATTCCAACTAAGAGGCCCAAAAATATGTTAAATATGGAAATATGGTCTATCGTCCCCCAGCATGTATTATTATTTTTAACTTTTTGACGCACCAAATCATCCAAAATTTACGTTTTTTCCTCTCTTATTTTTCCAATTTTACTTCTACCATCTCAATACAAACTGGAAAACTTCAAAAAAATAAAAAAAAAAACGCTGCATAAAGGGGGGAAAAAAACATAAACAAATTACCGCATATTCTTCTTCGGTGAGGTGCCTGACAATCCACGAATTAAATATGAAAGGGATTCCTCTTGACAAGAACTGCGTAGCTATACATACACATATTTTAACACATTAATTTAGATAGATAAAATTTAGGCATAAATTGGATCATATAATTGCAGAGAGCTAATAAAAATAACTAACCAAATAAGTATTTAAATGTGTGCGATAGATTAGCAGCCTCGTCTTCATGTGAATGCTTCAAGCTCGACTCATCTGAAACAATTTTCTTCATTTTTGGGATTTCTTTTACGTATGGGTAGCTGAGGGCGGAAAGTGGAAAATCACAAAAAGATAATATAGATTAGCAGCCTCATCTTCATGTGAGGGTTGAAGAAGAAGACGACGTCGGTGGGTTGAAGAAGAAGACGGTGAGGGTTGAAGAAGAAGACGACGTCGGTGGGTTGAAGAAGA